CCCCAAAACCCCAAAACCCCATGGGAGTTCACTTGTGATTGATGAAAAATTAATTTAAATTAAATTCAAAACTCTTGATATTTACTGCGCTTGGCTTTGTTTTTGAATTTATAAGCTTCTCTATCATAATGCTATTTTTGCTTATCAGACATTTTTTCCCATTTTTCATTTACCTTTTATATTATTTCAGCTACCCTCATTTTAGGATAGTTCTTCTTTAGCTCTCCTCTTTCTATTTCTGCATAATATACATAGCCATCTAATGTCACCTACTCTTAATTGGCTTGTTCTTCTTTTTACTGCTAATATTTCAATTCCTTTTGCCTCATGGCTTCAAACATTTCATCCTATCTCTTTTGCTAAAGTTCTTTTTATGTTTTAAATTGGGTATCCTAATCTTAATACTATAATTTTTCATCTGCAGTCATCTCACCCCACCTCTTAGCTATTATTGGTGTATACTCTGTAAACTCGAGTCCTGGTTTGTCGAGTTTAAGCTATGGCAGAATTGCACTAGCAAATCTATGATATGGTGAAACTATTCGATGCTTTTTATTCTTTTCATTCATATAACATCTCTGATCTACATTTCTACATATATCTTTTACGCTCTTGCCAAAGTGCTTTTTCTCATTTATAAGCTACTTAAGTGGCTTCTGATAGAGTTTGTCTGACATTTGTTCAAAGTCTTCTTGATACTTCCTTTGAAATTTTTTGTGAAACTTTTTATAGCCTTTTTTATTAATAAATAGAGTCTTTTTATTGTTTACTTTTACAATTCCTTCATTTAGTTCTTGCATCTCTTAATCTTGATTTTATTTTACTTAATTTTAGTCTTAAACTTGAATATTTTATTAACTAGAATCATTGTCATTATTTTTATTTTATTAATTTTCAACCTTTTATTCTATATTTTCATATTACATTTGCTATTGAGAATTTTTGTTATCTATCATTAAACTTTGTATTTTTGATTTTGCTTTTTCAAAATTGAGATCAATATCTTCTATATTAATTTCTTTTGAAATATTTTTGTTTATGAATTATGTAGTTGAATTTTTAAAATCATCTCGATTTGTTTATTCAAATCATTGCTCAGGACTATCTTATAATTTATTCTCTTCATCTCTTGATAAATCTTCATTTATTACTTAATAATTTATACTCTAGTCCACTAATTGATGGAATTACCCCTAACGAATTTAACTAGGAGATTATATTTACTTCTCTAGTAGAATTTATTGTTATTTAATTTCAACAAACTGTATTGAATCTTAGGTTTCGTCAATCTAATTTATTATTTATTAGTCATTACCGCAATATTAGTTGGAAAAATATCTTTAGTAGATATATAGTAGCCGTGATTCTATGTCCTGACTAACATTTTCTTAAGAGTTGTTCAGATAATAATGCATTTTGCTTGCTCTATTCTATATAATTTTGCAATCAAACATTGGAATTTTGCAATATCCAACTTAGTTAATATGTCGAGGTATCTTTAAAGAATTTTCTTCACCATAAAAGAATTTGTGAATATTACTTCTAACTTTTTCCTTAATTGGGGGAAATTCAAATCTCATTAATTTCTCGTATCCATACTGATTAATTATTTTAAATGATTATTCATCAATCCAAAGAAACTTTCTCGCTATTTATCTTGGATCATCTTTATTAGGTCTTATTATAGATTAGTCGAAATAGTATGAATAAGATTTAGTTTTTAATTCTATATTTGTTGGATAATCAT